GATTTGGAGTCCTCTATTGGTCTAGAGAGGAACAAACATAACTGGAGTATCAGCCTAGGAGTAGAGGTGGGGTGAAGGGGACACAGGGATTATGTCATCAGTTAAAGTTTATCACAATACTGGGAAGTCCCAGTTCTAGACAAAAAACTGAGCACATAAGGGGGAGATTTAGTATAGAAACCAAACAATAGCCAGAAAGGGAACTGAAGAGACAGTCCACCAAAGTGCCGAACAAACATAACTGGAGTATCAGCCTAGGAGTAGAGGTGGGGTGAAGGGGACACAGGGATTATGTCATCAGTTAAAGTTTATCACAATACTGGGAAGTCCCAGTTCTAGACAAAAAACTGAGCACATAAGGGGGAGATTTAGTATAGAAACCAAACAATAGCCAGAAAGGGAACTGAAGAGACAGTCCACCAAAGTGCCATAACAGTTATTCAAACAAAAACACATGCGCACAAAGCAGCTTCAAACAGAAACCTCATCTGAACTTGAGTAAAGGGCTCCTAAAGGTAAGGCTGCTGTAGACCCAATCTCACACAGAAAAATTCAGTTGCCTAGAGTCCTTCCTGGGCACTTCCTGCCCAGAAGGATATTATTCATTAAGCTCAGCACCAGTGTGAAAGCCTCACAGAAGAAGCTTCCTTATTGGTCATTAAAATAATCCCTTATCAAAGGCGATTCGATCAGCCACTCCTTCAAAAGTACTTTTTCTGTCTGCTTGTACAACCTGCTTTCTGTCTTTACTCTCTCCATCAATCAATTTGCAGGCCCTCTCATTATTTGGAACCAAGCAGATAGGAAAAAATTTCTTCATAACAGAGTCTTAAGTGGACTAGGACAGAAGTGGGATTTCAAATTAAATATTTGGGGAGCAAAAAACTAATAAAAACTGCTTTTGGATCAAAGATGAGAGAAAAGGGGGGAAGGAACAGAAATGTAACTGTGGATCTGGAGCACTGCAGTCTCCTAGGAGCAGTCAGGTTCATGAGGTTGACGGGTCCCCAGGGCTGAGAGAAAGAAGAGGAAGTAAAGCGAACATAGCAAGAATGGGTGAGTAGCTTTTGCTTAGGAAGAAACCTTTAATTCAGTGTTCATTGCCTGTAGCCTTAAAATGCAACTCCTTTGTGAATCATTTGTCTAATGAGCACTAGACAGGAAGATTTAACTAAGACTATAACATTGTCTACTTTCACAAAGTGAAATATGAAAGTGAAATCTAACAATAGAAGATGCTAAGGCATTTTCCTGAAATATAATTTTAACATCTTGCAATAATCAGCCAGTCCCTCACTGGCTTTGGGTGTGATGTGCAGTGAATGGAGCAGCAGGGCAGCATCTTTTAAATACTTAGCGGATGAAAATGCAAAGTCTGGCTGCTGCCTGAGTATTCAAGAGGCAAGGACAATTTCTGAAGTTCAAATTCATTCAATCTAACTCTCTGCTCTCTTACAGTAAGGCCAAAAATGAGTATCAACCAATTTTATTAACTGTGACCTCATTTATTAAATACCAAAACCTGCTAGTCCAAACTGCTTCCAAATGTGGGGATGTGTATTTTGCAATTTAGGCATAAAAGTTATGAACATGAAATTATAACATGCTCAATAAATACTATGTGCTCTTGTATTGAGAACTTTCATTCATAACCATGAAAACTCAAACTTTGCAGTGTTATCTAAGAGTCATGATAGTAATCATTCACACAGTCAGTATAAAATAAACTTTAAAGAACAGGCATGTTCCCATTCTGAAGGACCAAGGAACATAACGAACAAGAAGAGAATCAGAAAACACTCTGGGTTTTATGAAAGCCAAACATCTCACCCAGTATTTTTATTTGATCTGGTTTAATCTTTCTGAAAGGCTTCCTGATCTTTAGTTAGGACTCATTTTCATGTGGATTTTTTCATTTTCAAATGATCAGAAAATATCTTTTAAAATATTTCTGGCTATTTAAAATGTTTAAGTGTTGAAAATTAACAAACACCACAAATATTCAAACACTTAACAAATATCTCTAATATCAGCTTTATAAGTAGTTACTGTGGAAAAGGAGAAGATGCACAAAGCTGGGCTACTCTCCTAAGACTATGAAAGGAATGAAAAAAGATATCTGCAAACCATCTACTCAAGCGGAAATAACAAAAGGTTTAAAAATGGGTGTCAAATATTGAAAGAAATAGCAAGTTCTAATCTTCAAAATAACTGATGGGATCATAACTTATAATAAGCAATTATTATGTTTCTTATAAAAACTATAGGAGAGGACTTCAACGTTTTCAAAAGGTAACAAGAAGATGAGAACATCAATTACCTTGAGTTGATTGGTACGTATTATATATTTGTAACAAAATACTATACTCTACCCATCAATATGTACAAATATTATGTGTTAAAAGGCTTTAAATGTTTAAAGAGATAGTGCCCCGGCCTGCGGGGTCTGCAACGGGGTACCTGGATTGGGGAGTGGGGATGTGGATGAGGCAAGGGGCAAGAGAAATGGAGACAAGACAGTGCTCTGATCAAGTCTCGTTTATTGAAGCACAAGTATACAGTTAAATAAGAAGTGCAGACTGGACTGAATCATAACAGCCAGATAGCAAAGACCCAGGTGCACTCCAAGGGAGGAGTCCACTGAGAGCAAGGCCGTTACTGGAAAAGAAAACAAGACCACAGGTGAAGGCCGCGGTCTCCATCCCATGCCTGTGAGAGTCTACTGATCAACAGAAAACAGGACTATTTACAATAACTAGAGCAAGGCCGCGGGCTACCAGCCCCGGCTATGAGCCAAGATCGTGGGCTCTTTCCCATGGCCGCGGGAGGAGGGTGGACAGAATGGAAAGTCACCAACTCAGGTCTGTCAGCAGTTTGGAGAAATGGCTGAGCCTCTGGCTCCCAACAAGATAGAAATGTGTTTTTGATATAGTGATGTTCAGCAGGGATAATCATTGTGACTGAGAAGACTAGTTTACAGAAGTTGAGGGCATGGTAGGCTGGGAGGGTGAAAGGTTAGCACTCAGAATACCAAAAGTAACACAGAACACAGGAGGGAAAATGGTCCTCCTGTAATACTCATTATGGCCATAGCAAGTCTGAAAATAGATGTCTCTAAACTGTCTACGCAAGAGGAAATAGTGGAAGCTGAAAAAGCTAACCTGAAATGACGCATGTCACTCATACGTCTATACTCTTCAGGGAGCAAAGTGTTACCTTGTTATCTAGGTTGTTGTTATCTCAAAGATAATAGTGCTTCTAGTTTAAGAACTAATCCTCAAACAATGAAAATCTTATAATAACTACTTCATTAGTCATTAGACAAGTAAGATAAGGTGGCTACATTGATTTAGCTGTGTCAATACAAGAGAGGGGTTTCAATCTTTAAATATGTTAGAAGTTACACTTTCTCATCGCAAGTTTGCCATTTGAACTCATTCTAAACCTGAATTATTTTCAATATATTATAGTATTGAAAATCATGATCTATAAGTTTTCCCTCTGTCCTAACATTCTAGGACTCTACTTACATACCCTTCCAAAATTAGATACCTTGTGTGGCTTTTAAAATTCTTATGTCAGTTGCAGAATTACACCTCTTAAATAGTACTTACATTTTGGCCCACTTATCTAGCTCTTCTTCCAGATATGTTTTAACCATTTTTGGTTGAAGGCCAAGAGAATTTCCCAAGAAATAGATGGCATTTTCATCCTTATTCACTAAGGATAAATCAACTGAAACAGAAGAAAGAATAAAAATATGTTTATTAAATTAATTAACATTTTTCTACTTGGCATTGTTAATCCAGCACAATTAATATAATTAACTACAAGAAGGATAATAAATAACTTGGAGGTACTTGTACAGAAGACATCAGGTTCTCTGAACAGTAATTAACCTTTTGTATTTATACATTAAAACATAGCTTAAACACACAGAAGTAACGTAGAGATCCCTCACATTTATTGTGCTACAGGAAGAAATCTAAATTAGCAACTACTCCCAATCATAAATAGCCAAGAGCAGTAGGAAATGTTAAAAGCAGAGTTTTCACAGGAAATACAATAGCCTACCTAAGTATTTTAGGTTATCAGAGTGTAGGCAAGTTTTAACACTATTAATTAATCTGTTGCAGATAAAAGAAACTTTTTAGAAGGCTAAATGATAATATAACAGAAGATCTATTATAGTTACACAATCTACATTATATCTACACATACTTGTAATACTTTAAGGTGAAGATTGTTCTCTACATCTTCATCTCTTTCAAATAAAATTGGGCTATTTATCTTATGCCTTGGCCTTGACTGCAACAATTAAACAAGCAATTCCTGCGTTTAAAGCAGTCCAGAAAAACATATTCTGCAATAATGAGTATAAAGTACTAAAACTTTACTTAACTCTAGGAGGAGAAAGACCAGGTTTCTTGCTGATAGTTCAGCTGTATCACTGAGTTCCCCTGCTTATCTTTACCTTAAACTATTTAAACGTTTAGAGACATTTTGGAGGCATACTATGTGCTTCAGCCTGATCACATACTGTACTTTTTGGTGTCTTTAAAATCTGACACAATAAAACAGGTGTTAATGTTTAATGTTACATATCTTATATTATACACACACACACACACACACACACAAACACTTAAGTTGAAACTTGTTTGTGGCAGGAAGTTTGGTACTCTGTAGCTTGAAGATTGCTGGTTACTTTTAGTTAGGGTGCAATGAAAATTATGAACATAAATCTCAGTGGAAATGTGAGAAATCTTGCAGTTTTCCTAGAAAGTGTATGCGGGTAGAACTAAGGGGAATGTGGCTGTTAAAGAGATTAATACCATTGTTTTTAAAGGTGGGCTGGAGCGATGGCCCAGCGGTTCAGAGCACTGGCTGCTCTTGCTGAGGACCACCAGGTTGAATTTCCAGCACCCACATGGCAGCTAACAACTGTCCCTAACTCCAGTTCCAGGGAATCGGACACCCTCTTCTCACCACACGGGTGCATCTACCTACATGCAAGCAATATACTCAAATACATAGAATAAATAAAAAGACAAGTATGGATTGGGATAATAAGAAAGTTACCTTTAAGACACCTGAGGAATCAGTAAACCACATCATGGCCAAAAGGATGAGAGTATATAGTTTGAGGAGCTACTGCTTGAGGTGGTAGAAGACTTTGGTATCATGCACATTTTTGCAGGTATGTAAAATGTAAGAGTTACAGGATTGTAGAAGCTTCTACCCAGACTTGAAAGGAAAATCCAGGCCATGTATGAGAGGGTTAGGATCCTTCTGGAAAACCCCTGATGGGCTGGTGTTTGAAAATGAAGATACAGTGGAGATATCATGATGTCAGAGACACCAGAAATATGGAATGCTTACTAAGAAGAGCTTTGTGTATCAAGCTAAGACAGAGACCACGTGCTCTCCAGCTTCCCGGAGGTAATCAGGGCTGCCTAGTACTTATGAGCTCATCTTGTGACACCACCTGCCCCAAATTCAGATCATCTTTTGAGGGTCTTTCTATGTGGGCCACAAAATTCCAGCCCCCCTGCTTCAACTTCCCAAGTGCAGGACTTAAAAATGTGTACAACCATGTCTGACCACAGCTATAGGATATGTTTCCCCTGCTGAGTTTTAGTCTTCTTTGATCCCATTCCTCATTTCCATACCCCTACTCACATTTCCCTCTTTCACAAATAGAAATACTCACTGTATCATTGCTTCGTGGAATGATATAACTTTCTTTTTAATGTTTCTGGAGTTTATAGCTGAGGCTTGGGTTGAGTTTAAGTGGATTTTGGACTTAAATGTTTGAACAGTTTTGGAACTGTGGAGACTTTGAAGTCATCTCTCCAGCTCCCAGTATGAAGAAATTTAAGGTAACCCTTCTTTTCATGGTCACTGAAGCTGTCTGCTAAGAAAATTTGGCTTTTATTTCCCTTTTTTCTCCTTTTATTTAAAATATTTTATTTTTTATTTTATTTTTATATGTATGAGTGTATTGCTGGCCATGTATATAAGTGCACCCATGTCTTGCAATGCCCAAGAAGGTCAGAAGAGGGCACCAGATTCCCTGGAACTGATGGAACTAAGGATGGTTGTTAGCCACCATGTGGGTGCTGGGACTCAAACTGGAGTCCTCTGGAAGAGAAGCCAGTATTTTTAACCATTGAGCCATCTCTCCGGCTCCACTCTTCTTTTAGAAGATCAGATACACAGTTTAGTTTCAGCTTGTTCATATCAAACTTCATCAGACTTTAGTACAAATCGCTCTAGTTGAATTTCAGTCCTAGGCCCAAGAATGAACCTGGTCTAAAACAAGGACCTCTTATATTTATTTGACAAGCCCAAGTTTGGTAAACAAACCAATTCCAAAGAAGCCAGGTGGCAAAGACAAGCACATGTCTTCTAAGTAGAAGCTGAAAAATGTAAGAGAGGATGATGGGTCATCTCATTACTAGAGGATGAGAAAAATAAGGGAAGAGAGTGGAGGAGGGTGCGTAAGTACCAAACATATTTAGATGGAAGGAATAAACTCTGATATGCCGGGGCATGGTGTGGTAAGTACAGTTCACAACAGTTCTGCATTTTATAAAGAACTAGAGGAAAGGAGTTTGAATGCTCAAATGGGAAGCAATAATAAATACTGTAATTGCTAATCATCCTGATTTTATCACTACATGCCATTTGAATGTGCTGAAATATCACACACTGCCCCCAAAATAAGTACAACTGTTATATCTTAAGCAAAATAATATATATTTTAAAAAATGAAATGATTAACATACACAGTTTCATACAGAAAAATTCATTTTCAATGCAATTGGCGTTAAGATGTTTGCACATGCGTTTCTAATCTCTATATAGCTGATTATTACTCGTCACAGTCGGTTACTTTCTGAGCTCCTTGGCATCTAAGCATGGATATAAAGTCATCAGGCAGATTTCAATGGTAATGTTTTTCACATCTATTAAT